ACCAAGGTCAACAGCGTGGTAGACGTAGCTTTGTTGATCCGTGTCAAATTTGTAAAGGTTTTGACCACACGGGAGCTAATTGTCTTTGGCGGTATGATGATCCGTGTCAAATTTGTAAACGTTTTGGTCACACGGGAGCCAATTGTTTTTGGCGCTATGATGATCCGTGTCAAATTTGTAAACGTTTTGGTCACACGGGAGCCAATTGTTTTCGGCGTTATTCAGGGGCTCCGGGTTCTCAGGCTAATATGGTGTTTCAGGATGGTTTGGGAACTATAACCTCGTCAAATTCTCATACTTGGGTTTCTGACATTGGTGCTACAAATCATGCTACGCCTGATTCTTCTTTGATGACTTCTGTGACAAGTTATGATGGCCCGGAGACTCTGCAAGTCGGCAGTGGTACAGGTTTGCCTATTGTTAATGTTGGTTCCGCTTCGTTAGCTACTTATTCTAGGTCTTTTAAGTTACATGATATTTTGCATGTCCCTGGTCTCTCTTCTTCTCTATTATCTGTCCAGCATTTTGCAAAGGACAATAATGTTTTCTTCGAGTTTCACCCTCTTTGTTTCTATGTGAAAGACATTTTGACCAAGAAGGTTCTTTTTAAGGGACATGTGTCGCTAGGTCTCTACACATGGCCTGCGTCTTCTGCTTCCCCTGCTGCATTTGTTGCTGCACGGTCCTCTTACGTTTGGCACATGCGGTTGGGGCATCCCCGTTCTCGAGTCTTACGTAAACTTTTAGCGTCTCCGTCTGTTGGTATATTTAATTCTAGTGATCTTCCCAATGTCTGTTCCTCTTGTCAATTGGGAAAATCCTCTCGTTTTCCTTTGTCTCGTGTCGAAACTACTAGTACGCATCCTTTGGAATTAATTTATTCAGATATTTGGGGCCCTGCGCCATTACTTTCTGCGTCTGGCTTTAAATATTTTATGTTGTTTGTGGATGATTACACTCGTTATATATGGTATTATCTCATGCGTGCTAAATCTGATTTGTATGCTATATTTGATAAGTTTCGGACACTTGTTAAACGTTCATTTTCTCGCAAGATTATTTCTTTTCAATCTAATTTAGGGAGAGAATATAAAAAGCTTGGTTCCACTTTTGCTTCGCTGGGTATTTGTCATAGGCAGTCCTGTGCGTATACTCATGAGCAAAATGGTCGAGTGGAACGCAAACATCGTCATGTTGTTGAGACAGGGCTGTCTCTAATGGCTCAAGCATCTGTCCTGTCTCGTTTTTGAGACTATGCTTTTGAAACTGCTGTGTATCTAATTAATAAAATGTCTACTCGTGTTTTGTTTGATGAGTCCCCTTACTTCCGTATCGATCTCCCCCGTCCTACTCTTACTTGCGAGTGTTTGGCTGTCTGTGCTTTCCTGTCCTACGTCCTTATAAACGCAATAAACTCCAGTTTTGTTCATCTCCCTGTGTTTTTTTAGGCTATCCTCCGTCTTATCGTGGCTATCGTTGTTTGGACACTAACACTAACAAGGTTTTTATCTGTCGCCATGTGCGATTCGATGAGACTATGTTTCCCTTTGTTTCTCCTATTGCCTTGCAGGTTGCTACACCGTGTTCCAAACCGTGGGCTACTGCACCAATTGTGACGGGCCGAGGAAGTGATGTCTCAGCCACGGTTACATATGGTGGTCGGCAGATTCACGAGCCCGTGGCGGCTTCTTGCGGTGATGACGGTCACGGTCACGAGCAGTACATCAAGTGAGCGGACTGTCTCGGACCAGCAGGTTGAGCAGCGCAGCAGGCCGCGCGGACGTCCTTGACGTGCCACTCCGCCTCCTCGGTCACATGGCATGAACACTCGCAGCTCCGGCCCGCATCAACATGTTGCCTTAACCACTATTTCCACTATATTGCCTTAGCCTACCTGATACTCTCAGGCAGTCAAGTTTCCTGAGTGGCGTGATGCGATGGACACGGAGTTCAATGCCTTGGTCCATAATCATACGTGGCGTCTCGTTCCATCTCAACCAAGTATGAATGTTGTTGGTTGCAAGTGGGTTTTCGGAACCAAACGGAAGGCCGATGGTTCAATAACCGCCATAAAGCAAGGTTAGTAGCCAAGGGTTTTAATCAGGTTGCTGGAGAAGACATTTTTGAGACCTTTAGTCTTGTGGTTAAGCCCACTACGGTTCGTCTTCTCTTATCTTTAGCCGTCTCTCGTAGGTGGTTTATTCCCCAGTTGGATATTCACAACGCCTTTTTAAATGGCGAGCTAGCTGAGACTGTTTACATGTGACAGCCACCTGGTTATGAGGATAAGTCTTTACCTGATCATGTATGTTTGCTTAAAAATCTCTATACGGTCTCAAACAAGCTCCACGTGCATAGTTCACAAGGCTACATGATTTTCTTGTCTCTGTGGGCTTCTCGCCTTCTAAGACGGATGTGTTTCTTTTTATCTATTCTCGTGACAATATTCGTCTTTATTTCTTGGTGTATGTTGATGACATTTTAATTATGGGTTCTGACTCAGATCATGTTACTACTCTTATTGATAAAATAGCACTTGAATTTAAGGTTCGTGATATGGGTGTGCCTTCTTTCTTTTTGGGAATAGAAACTGTCTCGTTATCTGGCAGTATGCTTTTATCCCAACAACGGTAGATGAAGGATATTCTCAAATGTGCTAGCATGGTGGACTACGAGCCAATAATCACGCAAGTCTCTTCTGCGAAAATCACAGACGACGTGGTCGTTCCCTATGCCGATCCAACACAATACAGGAGTCTTGCTGGTGCTCTCCAGTATCTTACGGTAACTCGTCCAGATCTATCATATGCTGTTAATCTCTTGTGTCAACACATGCATGCTCCCATGCCTATTCTGATTCAGATTGGGCTGGCGATCCAAATGATCTCCAATCTACTAGTGGCTTTGTTGTGTTCTAGGGCAGTAATCTTATATCTTGGGTTTGTCGGAGGCAACGGACTGTGGCACATTCTTCAACTGAAGCAGAATACACGGGACTCGCTGATGTATCTGCAGAGGTTACATGGCTCGTTTCCCTGTTACACGAAATTGGCATCCCTCCCGCGTCGTCTCCTAGACTATGGTGTGATAATTTGGGAGCTACTTATTTGTGTGTCAATCCAGTGTTTCATGCCGGCACTAAGCACATTGAGATTGACTATCATTTTGTTCGCGATAAAGTAGCCAAAAAGGAGTTAGAGGTGCACTTTATCTCAACCAAGGATCAACTAGCAGATATCTTCACAAAGTCTCTGTCGTCTCTTCGTTTTAATTCTCTCTGTGACATGCTCAATGTTTTGGCTAGCAAACCTTGTGCTTGAGGGGGAGTATTAGGACTATATTATTCATATTAGACTAGGACTATATTATTCGTGTTAGACTAGGATTCTATCTAGCATCTATATATATTCGTCCCCTGTACTCTCAGATATTATTATTGAATACAACACAATTAGATTCTCATCAGATCACTGATGTGTCAACGGGGTTTGTGCACATGAGAATGGTTTAGGCAGCAGTTCCATGCTATTTGAACTTTTTTATTAAAAAAAAGTACAATCTATGTAGTATTTTTTAACAAATTCAATATCCATGTCAAAACATATTTCTTCGCTATAAGCAAGATTTATCTCGTCAACAATATAATTTTCTTGCTTCTTTCACAAATTACCAAAAAAATCAAATCAAAATTTAATAAAAGAAAAAAATGTTATCATTTCATAGCTTCTTGGTCTTCTTCTATCTTTGTTTCGAATTTGGATTGGTTGATGGCAATAATAAGCATTATTTTTTAATTAATGACAAAAGTAGTAACTGAGAATTCTATCTAAAGATATGTTCTCAAGTGCTTACGATAGATGAGCTAAGAAAATATGACAGTGAAACAATATTCATCACATGAACTTTTATCAAAAGACATTTCATCTCAAACCTGTCTTAGCGTACTTGTGACTCTTCTTAAATCTCATATCTCTCCCATATTACCGAGACCCTTCTATGATTATTCTCATCATGTCCAAGACCCTCTCTAAGAATGGATGTACACACACATAATTTTATTAACCCTTAAATGAAACTATTATTAACAACTTATTTTTATTATATCTTTATTGGAAATTATATTTTTAATATTAAATTATTATTAATTACGAAGTTTTTTTTTATAATTATAACAATATTAATAATTAAATAAAAAATAATAATTAATAATAACCCAACAATAAGTATAAATTATAAATATACTTTAAAAGTTGAGTAAATAGCATAATATATTTATGACCTTATACATTATTTTATATATAATGAGCTAAGAGTAAAACTAAAAATTGTCAAACACCCTTAACCATACCATCTTGATTTTGAATCAAAAGTTTTACAGGCTCAATAGGGGCAGCTGCAGTCTTTGAAACAGCAGCAGAAACTGAGAAACTCCACCCATGCTTGAGAAAGTCAATAGCAAAGCTTGCAAATCCTTTTCTGAAGGAGCCTGCATAGAAACCGGTGAAGCATTTGCAGTTATCAATGACAGATGCTGGGAGGCTAGGCAAGACTGCTGTCCTGCATTGTACCGTTTCCATAAGCATAATGCCTATGATACACAACAGCCCTCTGCAACCCGCCATAGGATGCTTTAGCATATTGGGAAACACTTGAGCTTAGATAGATGAAGCTGGAAAGCAACCATCTCAGAAACAGTGCAGTACTAGCTTAGTGCGTATATCAGCCATTGTGTTCTTTATCAAACTCCAGAAAAGCTAAGGTTCAATATAGCACCTAAGGGATTAGTGGCACACCATTCAATTGTCAATATTATTCTTATTATTAATATTTAACATAAAAAAGAAGAGTTGTAATATATAGTATGTCAATGAGATTTTCACTCGCTGATGAAAGACCATTAATCTTTAGTGGATTTTTTACCTTCAATCATAGTAAACATTGGCGGGTGAGAATCCACTGTCATATATGACATCCCATATTTTTCAAAAAGAGTCATGCAATAAGTGCAAAGTAGTCTAGTAAAATAAGTAATCAGTAACAAGAGTATGTTATATTGTACATATCACATTACAAAGAGTACAAAGGGAAGAAAATATATAAAACCAGTTACTAAACAAACCTAGAATGGTTCCAACACCAAAAGGAAGAAATGCAAGTAGGTTAGGGGAGAAGGAAATTAAAGGGGCAAAATATAGTCCTCCATCCACGGATAGTCAAGTTTTGGGGTGACCATCATTCTGATTATAGTCTTGCCACATGATCTCAACACATCCAAACCGTGCATCAATCCCGAATCACACATCAGGGTAATCCACTCATCTTCCTCATCTTGATACTTGATAGACATATTTTCTAGTGATATTTTGAACTTTGATTCCAATTGCTCCTCCAAATATTTCAAAGTTGAGGAGGATGAGAGTGGAAACCTTATGGTATCATTTTTATAGGTTACCTTGACAGACATTGTACTGTTACATTGGCTTGTATTTGTGGCTTGTAGAGGAGGCAGAGCAGGACATGGTTGAATTCCTTTACATTTCTTAACAGCTTGTACATATTGTATTTGGTTGAGAGAGCAATTGGGCATTTTTCCTTTGTGATTTGGCCATCTATTGATGCCAAAGTCCCGACATGCTCGCTTCAATGTAGATGAGCTAACTGCACAGTATAATATAATGGGAGATTAAAGAAAAGCAAATGAGTCTATGAGAAAGTATATATTCAAGCAATAACCACCTATCTATACACTAAGAAAATACCGAATACTACCACATCAAATATATGATAAAATTGTAGTGTTAGCTTACCTTTAAGAGTTTTAGCAGCATTATCGCGACTCTTACCAAACAGTTGTTCAAGAACTGGGAGGGTAATTCCATGATTTTTCTCCCACCTGCTGATAGTGTCGGTTTTCTGTGAACTACTGTTTCCACCTTTGGCATCAATGCTATTATTTCTTTCTTCATTTGTTGCATTAGATTCAGGAATGTGGGCTTCAGAAGATGAGTCCTCCTGTTCCAGCAGCATCCCTCCCCTCCTTGCAGCATTATATTCTGCTTCAAGTGCAGGCCAAATGTCAGCAGTATGATTCTCTTCCGAGGCAGTACCAACTTCTTCTAAAGAACGTCTAGTGATGCCAAAGTCCCGATGTGCTTGCTTGAATGTAGATCGGCGAACTACACAATGGAGGGAGATTCAAGAAAACAAAGGTGTCTGTGAGAAACTATTGAAGCAAGCAAATTAAAAACCAAACCACCTCTGTATACTAAGAAACTACTGATTACAACTACCTCGCATAAAATATATGATAAAACTGATACTTCATCTTTAAGAGCATCACGACGACTCTTACCAAACAGTGATTCAAGAATCTTGTGGGAAATCCCATGATCTTTCAGCCACCAAAAGAAGCCTTTTCTCTTCCAGCTTTTTCCAATGGCATCAGTTCTTTTTAACCCAACAACAACGTTTCTTTCTTCATTTGTTGCACTGGATTTGGGAATATGGAATTCACATGGTGAGTCCAGTTGCATCATCCAGCATTTTGGTTCAAGCATCTCTGGCAAAATGCTAACACTATGATTCTTTTGGGAGGCAGTACCAACTTCTTCTTCTTCTTGTAAATACGGCAGCTTGATTTCTTCCCCACTCGGTAACTCTAAAACCCCTGTCTGAACAAGCCTATCAAAGTGGTCTAAGAACTGCCTGTCCAAACCATTCAGATAGAGCAACCTTAGCATCTTTGCATTAAGGGACGAGGAGGAGCGATCATCAGTTACAGAATTGCCAAAGGAATAATTGTTTGTCTCTATATGCAACAGCAGGGTTACTACCACATCCAGAAACCCTAAAACCAAACGCCAAAGATGGGGATTTGAGCAGCATTCAAACCACAACCGTTGACTAAGTGAGATCCATCCCATTATACAGCCCCAGATTTTTAGCTCAATTGATTGCGAACTGCAAACAGCATAAAATCAAGTTTTAAATATGCAGTAGCTACCTGCTTGACATTTAGGCAAATTATTCTTATTTGTTCTATATATATATATATATATATATATATATATATATATATATATATATATAAACCGTAACTGTATAACAATTTTCTTATACAGCCATTCCACGATGATCAAACAGGGTGTCACGCCCGGTAGGCCTGGCTTATTTCCTCCTAGGGAACCGGAATCATCGGACGGCAATGAATAGTTGATCATCGTTTGCGAACTCAGTCCCGCCAATTGGAACCACGCATCTACATTATTAACAGAGTGATCATCACTTGTTTGTGGTTGCACCATCCCTCCCATGTTTTCTGCTTCTTCTTCAAGTGCTGCTGACCAAATTCCAAGGCTTTGATTCTGTCCCAAGGCACTGGCACTAGCAGCATCAACCTCTTCTATACATGGCTGCTGCTTCCAAGTTGGCCGCATCATCATTCCATTCCTATTCTCCAACTCTTGAACCTCACTATGATCTGCAAAATCACACAATCTAAATGGATCGAAATTTCCCATGGAATCACCGGACGGCAGGGAAAAGTAGTTAATCCATGGTGGGCTCATACTCATCATCATTCCTCCCCCCATGTCGGCGTGGAAATTGGGGCTTAGGAACAACGCTTCTTCACCAGAAAAGTTCATCCCTATCCCTGGCCCTGGGGGGCTCATCATCATTCCTCCCGCCATATCCAACACCAAATTGCACTCTGTATTAACAGAGTGATTATGAGAATCTGTTTGTAGATGATGGACAACACTAGTCGTCTCACCTTCTTCACTCATTTCCGACTCCGTCAACGCCGCCGCAGCAGCAGCATCATTATCGGCGGTCTCCATCTCCGTAACAGGGTTCCAGGTGAGACCGCCATGGTTGAACAACCACCTCGTGGGAAAAGGAGAGGCAGCATATGGTGGCGGTTGAGCTTGTTCCGGAGATGGAAAATTGTCAGCAGAGGGGTCAATGAACGATGATGCATCATCATTCTCAACAACTCTCATTGCTGAATTTGAGTAGGTGTGTAGGTGCTGTTAGAGATTGATTTGGTGGAAAATGTAAATGTAATAATGTTTAATTTCGTCTTTGCTTGGGATATTTGTTGACTTGTGGATTAGATTAGCGTCGGCCATCTATGATCTATATATAATAAGGAATTATTAACAATGAATCTATTCTTCAAAAAATAAAATAAAAAAACGATGAATCTATATATAATAAGGAATTATTAACGATGAATCTTTTGTTTTTTCTTGACAAACCCCTTTGAACCTTTTGAACCTTAAACCTTTCGGTCCTTCTATACCAACAACGCAACAACTCAACCTCAATCACCATCACCCCTATATTTACTCCACCATATTATAAAAAAGAAAAATATTTGGTGTACTCCCAATTTGTACTCCCTCTCACATATTCTTGATATAGACATTTTTCTATAGACCCACATGATGAAAATAACTAATCCTGATTTACCACCTCAAAAAATATAAATGAGGGAATAGAGTTTTGAGAGTCTATATAATAGAACTCTTATAAAAAATATTAGGAGTTGTTTACTAAGGAAATTTTTAAGAATTCTTAGAAATTGAAAATTGAAAACAGTCTAGGTGTTTACCATGTTTTTTTTTGGAATAAGGGTCAAATAGGCCATCGAACTGCACCCGATAAAACAATTAGGCCACTGAACTTAAAAAACCAACAATTAGGTCCCTAAACTAATCAATTTCAAACAATTTTTTCAATTTGAAGGTTTCTAATAGGTCAACAGGTCATCCTTCCAAATTAATTATTTTTTAAAATTTAAATTTTAAAAATTAATTAGTTTTAAATTAAACTAAAAAAAAAAAAAAAAAAAAAAAAAAAACTGGTTCCGGCCGGAGACGGTAGTCAAAAATAATAATTAATTTGGGAGATGACCTGTTGGAAACCTTCAAATTGGAATAATTGTTTGAAATTGATTAGTTTAGGGACCTAATTGTTGATTTTTTAGGTTCAGTGGCCTAATTGTTTTATCATGTGCAGTTCGATGGCCTATTTGACCCTTATTCCTTCTTTTTTCATTTCCAAAATTGAGAACTATTCCTCTTTTTTTTCAAGAAATTTAGAACACAATTAAAAGTTGTTTTCAAAGCAGAGAAACACGCGTGAACAGTAGATCTACCCATCGAATCTGCCAGCCTTATTTCTTCTTTATTTTCTTCTTTTCGATCTGCTGCTGCTTTTCTTCTTATACGATCACCGGAAACCCACCCAGAATCGCCCCACCGTCCGTGGCGGCCTCTTCTCCAACCGCCAGACCATTACCAACGCCCAGCCTAAAATCGGCCTCTTCTCCCCTGCGAATCTGCGCACTTAATATCGGAATCATTCAAAATTTACAGTTCAAAGACCAAAGACGAGAGCACTTGAACGAATACAAAGCCACGAAGGTACTCCTCCGATTCTTGATTTTTTTTTTTTGAACTGTTTCTGTCTTTGAATGTTGAATTCGATTCCCTTGAAGCTTGAACATTGAAGTTGGCGAATTTTTGAACATCGAATTTGGCAATGGAATTTTTGAACATTGAAGCCGAGTTATGCACTGGAAATTTATTCCTAACTCAATATTCTGCTCACACCTTTGGCTGCATCTTTCCCAGCTCTACACCAATTTGTGAATAGGTTGATGTTATCCTGTATAGGTCAGGCTTCTTAATATATTGTTGTTGATGAAGCAGAATGTACACGTGGTGGAAGGCATGAAAACGTGGAGGAATGCCAGGCAATGCACTTCCTGTGTACATGCAGAAAAAAAAAAACAAATTAAATTATGGGATGTAACTTTAGGCTATGGATTTTTCTCAAGGACAGTTCTCTATGTCCCTCTTGTATTAAAGATAAACTTCAATTTAACAAAAATATGTTTAATTTTCTTAATGTAATATTAATTAGAAGTTAGAAAAAATTTTGAAAACAGGGAAAAACAGAGAATAGAAAACAAAAAATTGAAAACAGGGAATAATTTTCTGTTAGTAAACGAGTCCCTACTCTTTCATAAATTTATTTTTCCACTCTTTCCAAGGTCACCCAAAGTTCTGTTCCGAATGAGGTATTTCAGAAATCTCTAAATAATACATGCTGTGTTTTGCCTACTTTATAGATTTCGGCATTGCGCAATGAATAATCATTCATTGCTTGTCTCATCATTTAATTTTTTTTTTTAAAGTCCTATCAACAATAAAATTATTTAAATATTCTGAGATGCATTGCATAGTTAAATGTACCTTAATATAACACTATTTCGGGATGGCCCACGGTATAATGCTTGCTTATATGTTGTTCCAAAGCTAGGACAATCAACTAACATTTAATCAATGATAGTTTTAAAAGAAAAGAGTGAAAAAGTAATTGTATATGGTGTTTAGTTTTGGTTATAATTACAATATAATATTTACCATAATATAAGTGATCCTATTAATTCAAACAATTAATTATATTTTGAATTCTGAGATGGATTAATACATCCGTGGGTGTGTGCGTTTGTGTTACATGGCGTGTGCATATTCCGGCGACAAAAAAAAGGGTTATGTGCATCTGTAATTTTTATTTTGGTGATTTTTACGATGGTGTGTGCATGGGTGCGATATGGTATGTACAAGTTACTATGTCGCAGGCTTTGCATGACATTGTTATTTTTGTTTTTGTTTTAAAAAAAAAAAATATTTGGTGTGAACGTGAATTCATGTTTTTTTTTTTTTTTTTTTTTTTTTTTTTTTTTTTAAAGATTGCAAAAGTAGTGGGCCTTTGATTTTTAGGGTGGTGTGTGTATAGTTGTGATATGGCGTGGACATATTATAGGGCTAAGGACATTGCATCTTGTTTTTTGTTTTTTGTTTTTTGTTTTTTTTTTTTTTTTTTTTTTGTTTTACCAAAATTGTTATTTGGTGTGTGCGTGAAATCATGTTGATTTTTAATTTTTTTTTTTAAAGAATGCAAAAGTACAAAATGCACTTATCAACTTACACTTAAACTTTTGCTTATCCTCAAGCACATGCAAGAAATAAATCACCATCCTAGCAAAGAAATTGATCATGCTCCCTCTTTGCACAACCTATCAAACCACAATCCAACTTACTACAACACAACTTGTTTCAAGAATCACCTTAGCTTGGCACACAAGTTCCATTCTCAAGCCAACAGGGGCGGAGCCAGGATTGAATAGTGCGGGGGGCAACTACGGTTGAAATACTAAATCAAATATATTGATATCCAATTAAAATATTTCAAAATAATCATTACATTACAAATTTAATAAAGTTTAGAATAAATAATTTATAATTGAATCTATATTAAATTATTTTGTAATATGTTTTTCAATGCACATTGCTTTGTACGGTTGAAAAAATGAAAACATTCACGCATGTTTTAAAAAGACCATTGATTATTCTTGAAAACTACCATCTTCACAACATAACATAATAACAATTGTTTTCTTAAATACATATACTACACAATTTTTACATTATTATGCATGTTAAATTAAATACAACATTTATCACGTAACCACAAATATGCATAATTAACCAAACAAATGCACCTTCATATCCATTATTTAGAATAAAACAAAACCACTATTTAAAATAAACAATAGAATATGAAACAAAAATTAACCAAACATGTAGTTAGAAAAAAAAAACAGATATTAACTTGAAAAATATGCATAGATTTTAATAACAAATTATCTTGTTATAGCGTATATACCGCATATATGTATGGTTCTAGAGAGAAAAACTAGTAGATAGGTTAAATGAGGTTTAATTTGAATGTGAGTCAACAATATAGTGAATACATAATTTGATATTGGAGACAACGGAAGATGTTGAGAAGATGAAGAAGTTTATAACTTAGCTTGTAGGATTAATTTATGTGGGAGGAGGGCCAAATATTTTGAAGGAACAACCAAATTTTAATATTCTATATAATATATTTTTTTTAAATTTAATATTTTTAAAAAAAAATTGGGGGAAGGGGGGCTAAGGCCCCCCTTGGCATACCTTTGCCTCCACCCCTGCAAGCCAATAACCAAGCACCAAAATTATTAAAGTACGTGAGGATCAAGTGTGCACAAATACTAAGTTGAGATTATGCAAAACTTGGCTTTGAATGAGATTCCATAGGCTTGCCCTTCATACTCCCACTAGTTCAACTCCAAGATTGCATGCTAAGATCAAGTAGGCCTTTATTAGGCTTGTAATGGGGGTAAGGGTGAAGAGCTAACAATGAAGGGGTATGGAAAATAAACAAAGGAGAGAATTTCACATTTATTCACAATTGATGCTAGAAGAGATATGCCATCTATAAATTAAGGAGCAATTTACAATGGAATATAAAACAACAGTCTAAAGAGGTGGGGGTTGAGTACAGATTTCAACACAAACTAGAATCAAGCGTCAAACTTTTATTCTTCTTTGACGGGTGAGTAGGGTCGGCCTAGGGCTTGGCTGTTTTTTTTTTTTTTTTTTTTTAAATAATGTTTTTAATTTTTAATAAATTAAAAATGTTGTTCAAAAAAATAAAATAAAAAGGACACGTGTCAACACCACATAGATTTAACCTGCTAAGTAAGCCAATTTGGACTTCATTGAATAATTTTACCAGTTTAGGGGACTCAAATGGAGCTTTTTTTTACTTAGGAGACCCAATTGCACTATCCAGTTGACTTAGGGGACCAATTTGACCCTTTTTCCTACTTTAAATAAGCATCATTTTTCCTCATTTAGGACATCTTCATCTTTGTTGGTCCCGGTAGGGTCTAAAGGAGAGTCTAGAGGGGGGCTGAATAGACTCAATTCAATTTTTAACAGAAATAACTCCTTTCGGGGTTATTACGAGTTTTAAGATTTCTTTGCACTATTTGTTGCTTATAAGAACTTTCGGTTTGAGGAGCCATGATATGCAATGCATGAAAGTAAAGCAGTAATAAAGTAGAGAGAGAGACGAGAGATTTTTATAGTGGTTCGGCCAACTGTGCCTACTCCACTATTCTTTCACAACTCGTGAAAGGTTTGCACTATCACTCCTAGTACAAACTAAGTCAAGCTAGCTTCGTTGATCACTAATCTGGACAACTACTTGAAGGTTTTTCAACTCCTATAGTTTACTCCGCCTCTATCAACGTCTTCTTCAGAGTTGAGGGTTGGTAGAAAGGATTTGCGTGGTTCTCCAACAGGTTGAAGTCTTGGCTGACTGGTTGAATGATGGATGATCAACTTGTATAAGATGCAAGATTTCTTCAAGGTTGTGAAGGTGTAATCTGATGGCTCTCTTTGAAACTTCACAACTTGAATCACTAGTTTTCAAACGCTTTGGAAGAGTGAATTGAACTTGTATAAGGAGCTTTTGTATGAATATGATCAATTGAGTGAAAAACCAGCACCTTCTACAATAAAGAAGATGGGTATTTATAGGAGAGAAAATATCCATCCGTTGGAGGGAGATGATATTTCAAACCTATGGACCAGTGGGTAATGTCCGGAGAGCTTGCTGCATTTAATGCTCCATTTAATGCGGTTGTACCATGTAGTCGTTGGAGGCAAGAACTTTTGCAAGTTTTGTCTTCTAGATCTGAAAAGAGGTACAATGGCATTTAATGCACCTTGATTTATGTGCTCCTTGTCCTTAGGATAACTTGTTCCTAGGATGATTCATCAGTAGAGATATAGACAACATTCTCCTTGAATTAAGAGAAGATGGATTGTCTTGGCAGTCTGATCATAGACTTAACGTCTCTTCACGAAAGATTGCTTTCGTCTTGTGAAGTAGCATCTCTCCATTTGTTGAAAATCCGAGAGGTGAATTCTCTTGCTGATGTAGCTTCTGCTTCAATCATTCGATCTTCTTTCGTTCAAGAAGTCCTAACTAAAAGATCATAACTTGGTTTCGTGTGTTTGACTATCTTAACACGAATTACATGGTGAGTTATGACACCTTTCGTCTAGAACGAAGGTAGCAAAAGAATTGATAAAAAAGTTAGGGGTCTACAATCTAAGTTACATTGGTATCATCAAAATCTTAATACATATGTTCCTAACAATTTCCCCCTTTTTGATGATGCCAAAACCTATACTCTGCTATAGGGCTGACAAATATCCCATAAAGGATTGTTCATTTCAAAACAGCCATTTAGATGAGTTTACATTTAGTTTCTAAGAAATTATGAAAGATACAAGTAATTGAAACAAGTAACTTAGATATAAACACGAATGTTTGAGCAAATGATGACTTTTATATAAAGATCAAAACACTTACAAAATAGTTAAAGGCATAGTTGAAAAACTTTTACATTTCTAAAAGTTTCGCCTTTTGTAGCTGAGCCTCCTTTTGTTCTTTGTCATCTCTCTCCTTTTGTTGCTTGAGCATCCTATCCATGTCAACGTCTCGGTTGATCAAGGATATGAACTTTTGGATAGGGTTTTCTTTCACGAGATCTTCATATTTTCCTTTGATGTTACAGCTCACATAATTGTTGTATGCTTCAAGGATGTTTTCTCCTTCAACAATACCAAGATTCCACCAGGAAATGAGCTCAAACGAATGCATTCCTTTAGTGTAATTCTTTCCTGATTCTGTGTGAATTTTGAAAGCGGCATTTTATTTGATTCCTGGTTCAGCATCTTTCCTCACTTTCGTCACATCCTTTATTTTTTCTTTTATTCTTTCGCGTTCAATCAGTTCTTGATTTCTTCATTTCTTTGGCTTTGATAGACTTGCCTAGAGCAGTTGTCTTTCCTCTTCATCCATACTAGTATATTATATCCTTCAAAACGTTTTCCACTTCCTACTTCATACTGTTGGTAAGTGACGAAGTTTCTTGTGGCATCCATGGTTACATTCTCATTTCGCATCAGCCTTTGGCGAAAATTCTTATTCTCTCTGTTCGTTTTTCCACGAAATATGAACTCCGAAGTGGATCTGAATGATTGACGAGGTCTGATAGGGTATTGTCTAGATCTTGAAGAAGGCTGTTGTCGAGACCTAGATGCTGGGGGTGAAGATCTCGTGTTTCTTTCTTCATCATGTCTCGTGGTTCTCGGTGAGGATAATCTTGTGTTTTTTCCTTCTTCATGTCTCGTGGTTCTTCCTTCATTATTCCTTCTAGATTCATCTGGGCGAGATGGTGATCGATTTCTGTTTTCTTCTTCATCATCATCATTTCTTTTCTTTTCCCCCTTTTTGGCATCAGCACACGGGGAGTCAGAAAACTTGGACAACCTGTTGACTGCATTAAGCACATCTTTAACATATTCGAGAATTTGGAGCTGATATTCTCCCATCCGAAACATGTTGTCATGCCCTAAGTCGACCTTTGTGCAAGCAAGATCTACTCTCTCCTTGAGGCCAAATTGTGAAAGTTTGAGACTTTGCTGTTCCTTTGCAATCTTGTCAAGGAGGTGACTTTGACGGTGGAGTTCTTTTGCTAGCTTTTCGTGAGGATCTGAAGTGGAAGAACTTGGTTGCTGTTGAGGCAAGGTTTTCATTAAGTGATCTATTTGGGTGGATAAATCTTCCAGAGTCTTGCTATCTTGCTTTTGGTGAACTGAGTACAGTTGATGTAGAAGCTCTGCCCTTTGAATTGTAGCCGACAGATGATCCATGATGTCTTCGGGTTCAATAGCTTCGGAAGGAAAACCTGAGTTGGGGTGGACGCTTTTGGGATCACGAAATGCAATTCTTTGTTCAAGAGTGACTTGATTTGTTTTTGGTGATGCTTCCAGATTGTCATCACGAGGTGAGTGCGGATGCAATTGTGTTGTTGGTGGTGGTGATGCTTCCTTTTTGTCATCACTTGCTGGATTTGCCATCAACCGACTGTCAGTAGGTGGTGGTGTAGAGGGAGATGGATCACGATGAGGAGTTTCTTTGCGTTGAGATGAGTGAGGTGTTGGGGATCTTTCGGGTATGATTTCGTTGTTACCAATGATAGGAGATTCACTATCATAGTCCGAATTATCAGCATCGTCATCATCATCACCCGAATCATCATCATCATTTTCATCATAGTGATCATCGTCCTTCTTCTCATTGTTCTCCTCATCATCGTCCTTTTTGTCATCATTCTCATCATCAGTGTTTGCCCCATTGTCATCTTCATCTTTGTTGTTTTCGTCATTCAGAGATTCACTTTCATCAGATTCATCCTCATTGCTATTTTCATCTTCATTTATTCTTTTGCCTTCGGCATTGGCTTCCTCAATTTCAACATCATCTTCAATTTCTTTCCCGTTCTCGTCCTTGGATCCACTGATGTTGCAAGCCGGATCATTTTGATGAGTTTTCTATAATTCAGTTTTGACTTTGGATAACAGGAGAGTAAGTCTGAATTCCTTCATTTCTTCTTCAAAGACAGGATCAAGAGGTGGTTTCTTCAGTTTAATGCAGACGGGAGCCTTTTCTTTTCCCAAAGTCCGATTGGTCACCTTGTTTATGGTCTCGAGCCTTGTTGCGTCGTATACATTTCGTGTACCAAGCCATTCGAGAGCAAAATCTTCTTCATCCTTCATTTCATCAAAAGTTTCGAGAAATACTTGGAGAGGAGAAGTTCGCCACTTTTGCCACTGCAAAACTCTCTGGTAATCAGTTTCAATCGAGAGCCGAAGCAATTGATCTCTTGTTGGGGGAGGAGTAGGGTCAGTTTCTGGTACAGGTACCATTGCTCTCGTCTCTTCGGGTAAAGCATCGTTTAAGTGAGGAGTAGTTTCGGATTCAGGCATCACGACTTTCGGATCAGTTTCAGAAACTGGAATCATTTCTCTCGTCTCTTCTGACAATCTAGGTTCTTGTGGGAGACTTAAATGATTTGAAGGTTGTGGCAAGCTTTCGTCCTTCTCTACCGTAGCAGGTTCTTGTGTCAGAATGGGGATCATCTGCCCTGCTTGGGTAGGTTCTTGTGGAAGGGATGTTTCGGTGGCGGGTGTTGAGATAACAATAGGATCAATGACCACTTCTCTCGTGTCTTCTGGCAAGCCAGGTTCTTGTGGGAGACTTAAGTGATCAGATGAAGGTGGAAGCTGGCAACTTTCCTTCTCTAACTCAGCAGGTTCTTGTGTCAGATTCGGGTTAATCTGCTCTGCTGAGACAGGTTCTTGTGGCAAGGAGTTCTGTGCGGACCCTTCGGTACTTACCGATCTTGTCTTCCTTTTCTTTGAGGTTTTGCGAGAAGTGTCTTTTCGCCTTAAAGTTTCTTCCCCCTGAGAAGATGCGGATCTCTTTTTCAGTTTTTTCTTTCAAACTGGACGGAGGAGGAGGGGCTAATCTGGCCATTATCTCATTGGCTTTTGCAATCATAGGTCTGAAGTGACCTTTCGTTGCTTGTACAGGGCTAGGTTGAGTAGCAACTTCTTCTTCAGATGAGTTGTAACACCCCGTGTTACGGCCTCTAAACCAATTAATTATTTAATCATTTACCCAAAAGAAAGAATTAAATTTCATTAATTAATTAGGAAGAGTCCACCTTAAGCCCATGGACCCTTATCCCTAAAACCAATCCCTTAGTCCTATAGGAAATAGAATTAGCAAACCCATACCATTTAGACCCTGATTGGGACTCTTAGATATATAAATAGGGACATAAGAGGCACTTAGAACTCACACCACAATAACTTTCACCACACAAGAATTCCCAAGAATTCCCATAGGAGAAATCAAGAAAGAAGAGATCTTAAAGAAAGACCCTTCATAGCCAATGAATTTAATTAAGGCTAAGAGGTAACCCATGTCTCAACAAAACCTATTTTCCTTGTTATAATCTCCTTCTTTGGCTCATTCTATATGCTTGTGTCTTGATGAAATCCTTTATGATAATTGTGATATAATCTTGATGATTGATGGGATGATTTTATGTGTGATCTTGATGATGATAAGAGGTTCTTGATATTTGTGTGATGATCCTTGATAAATCTTGATGTTAAAGATAAACTATGACTTTGAAGATTTAAATGGGATTAGAGCCCTAGGTTGAATTGGGAATTTGTATTGTGATGTTCTTGATATATATTTGGGTGGGAATTCGCATGTTCGGGTGTTGTTTATGTTTAGAAATCATGATAGGATGTGTTCTATGTGATTCTTGCTTTTGATCCATTAATTGTCTACGTGGTGTCGTTATTTGCGTTTAAAGTGTCTAAGCATGGTTTCGGGTTCCACGGAGGATCCCGGGACGTTTATTTTGATAAAGAGTCAGTGGGGGGTAGGTGGGGGTAGGGGGACCCGCCACCTACCTGCTGCCCAAAGAAGACGCCACC